TTTTCGCTCATTTATTTGCTGCTAGAAGAGCAGATTCAGATTCCTCATTTCGGTGGTATTTTCTGTGTTTCGTTTAGTTTAGCCGAGTCCTACCCCATGCCCGGACTACTAAAACATGCAACACACACACGTACGCCGCCTGGTGCGTCGGCGTCGTCGCCAGTCATCTTGATACAAAGTTCCAAAACATGCGTACATTTCCAACATATATTGGATGGTTGTGGTGGCGTCGGTCTGGTAAAATTTGACAACCAATTCCCAAAATTAAGTCACGATCAGTGATCTGAGCTCGATCTATACGTACTTTAAAAGTATTCTCACAAACATATTTTCGAATGAAAACGAGCCACATGCCCTGTAAAAAATCGAATAGCACTTGACATGCAGAAATAATTTATTGGGCTTCAGAAAAAAAACGTGTACATTTAGTGTGGCCGTAAATATTTGGTCACCAGCCGATGAACAATTTGAAAATCATCATTCACACGAAAGTCCTTCGATACTGAAAATCATCGACCCCAGTCTGGTTTACCTCATTTCCCAACTTGCAAAACTGATTTGTATCTCAGCCCTGTTTTTTTTCTGAGGTAAAATCCCATTCGTTTGTCAAAATATACCAATGTTTTTCAGTGAATAATTGCGAAGCCTGTCACAGCACAAAAAAACACTTTGTGAATCGACGATGGAGATTGGATGGTACGACGACCCTTCAATTTGCGTTAAATATGTTTTGTTACAACATCATTGATTGGCTGAGAGTCACCTGATCGGAGCACGACCTGGGTCACAGAACCATATTAGTCCGTATTATCAACAGGACTTTGCGAGAAAACCACACCCACAATTTCAACCATTTTAGCGCGGAAGTTGCCAACAAATGTCGAAAACTCGTGAATTTTATAAATTCGAATAAAATAAAGCTAGCGATTTGTAAGACTGGTTAATAATATATCCCCCGATGCTCTTCGATTTTTTTATTTCAAGGTGAGAAATGGATACTAGTAGTTGAAGTTCCATCGATTTCAAGGCGACTATTTAACCGTGACAACTCTACGCTCTGTTGTAGTTTCGCGAGGTAAAACCATGGAGGAACCTCCATGGTAAAACAAAAATACAATAAATAGTACTTGTTTAATTATTTGGTTGTACAGCCCGCAAATTACGGGACATGATCCCCATGAATTGCGAGAAATAAATGCTGATTGTGTTGAATGACGGACGTCGGGACCGTTTGGAGAAACAAATTACGGTCGGTAGACATTTCAAACAAATGAAATTATTTACGAAAGACAAGATTTTTCTAGGTATTTACGATCATACCAAATATATTCAAAATTGACAAATACACAAAGAGGTGTAATAGTAGGTCATTTTTATTTTAGCCTTAGAAATATTTTCTTTCACTCAGTCCACGTCCATGCGTGGGAATTCTATTTAGCTTCATGGTCCTTCGGCTTGTCTTCTGCTTGGGGGGAAACAACAATAATTATACAAATCGTAAACTCAACACAATCAGGAAAAGAAACCCAGACAACCATGTTGTACTTCAGTTGAATACATTTTGTAGCAGTGCCTCACGTCGGAATATTGTCTAAAATAAAATATTCAATCCCAGCCAAATCTAGGTCAAAGGGTCAGATTGCGTGCATATAATTATAGATAGTTAAAACAAAAAGTATTTGAACTTTTGACGGTTGTTCAACATCTATGCACGGTTACTAAACTAAATTACTAAATTTTTAGTAGTCCGAATTGTTGCACGGTCCAAAATAAAACGGAAATTGACCGGTCAAAAGCGGAAGCGGTCAAGAGGTTTGGGGGAAATGAGTACAGTACTTCTTTGTTTGATGAAGCGATGCTGATGCCACATTGTCGCCATAATGAGGCCACAATGAAGCGAAGCGATAATCGCCTAACTTTTTAATGTCGCGACATTGAAGCGATGCTGAAGCCATAACAATGCCATAATGATGCTGAAGCGAAGCTGACGCTGAAGTGAAGCCAAAGCTTCCACGAGAACTGTAGTGTATGTGCCAAATACGAATGAAAATGGTACATAAATTGTGGAAATATAGTAGTAAGGCCAAAAAGTCAGATGGCTGTCAATCGGCCATCCTTGACCAGATTTTGAAACAAATTGTCATGGACATGCATCCAAACATGTATAAAGTACATGTATGTGCCAAATTTGAATGAAAACTGACAGAGCACGTCCAAGATACCGCATAAAAAAACCAAAACAAGATGCCTGCCAGTCGACCATCTTTGATCCAATTGCAAAATAAATCGTCATGGGCATGTATCCTAACATGTATAATCTATGTACCAAGTTTGAATGACAACTGACAAAGCATGTCCAAAATACAACATTTTCAAAAAACAAAATGGCTGCCAGTCGGCCATTTTGAATAGAAATGCTAAACCACTGCATGTGCATATGTCCCACATAAGGTACTAGGTATTCAGTGTTTATTTTGTATGGGTTATAATAGCTGTTACATTTGTTGTATGTTGACATTGTGCTGTAAATAATTTCTATTGTATGGAATAAAGGACATTTTGTCTCCAGCGAAAAAAAAAACAAGCAGCCTGTCGGCTGAGATAGCTCCGCTGTTAGCAATGCACATGGCAATTAAAGAACAGAAGATATCATTAGAAAATGAACAAATCTGAGAGAGGTCCACATGTAGTACCTATATGTATAATAT